TCCTTCCTCTTCCCTGTCCACATCCAGCTGCCACATCCTGTCCTCTGCCCTAGCAAGAGTTTTGCTGCCTGCTGCTGTAGGTCATTGTCTTCTCCTCTCCTGGCTAACTGATTCCATCTCTCCCTCGTTCCCCATCTTGGCTACTGCTACACTTCTGGAGCTCTTTTTGCCCATCTGCCAGGGTCTGCATTCCCCTGACTTGGAACCTGCAGTATCTCGTCTTGGCCCACGAGATGATATCCAGAGTCCTGTGTGTGGCACAGCAGGGCCCGCCATGACCTGGAACAGCATGCCCCCCCAGCCTCTGTTCCCACCCCTCCCCCCACGTCCCCTGCACAGCCAGGGCTCCAGTCACCTGTGAGTGCTTGTTAGCGGGTGGGGGAGGTGGGCTGGGGCACCAGGGGCACAGCTGCCACCTACTAGTTGTGTGATCCTTCACCTCCATTAGAAAGTGAAATCATGTGGAAGGAGAACGTAGAAGAACGTGTGGGAGAGATACCAGGGACCAAGCAAAGGAACTCTCTGGGAGCACACAGTGCTAGAGGAGCCAAAATGACAATGGAGTTGGGGTCCTGCTTATAAGCTTTTAGGCTTTGGACCTGTTACTTCCATAGGCTTCCTTTTTCTCAGTGTGAAGTGGGGACAGTGCAGTAACTAATAACTTTGTAGCATCGTTTGAGAGTTCTTGCCTATAAATGGTTGAAACAGTGCCTAGCACTTGGCAGGTATTGAGCAGTGAGCAGTAGCAACACCAACTCGTAGATCAAGCAGTTCAACAGAAGGTGGAAGGCAGAGGTCAAAATCTTGACCTCACACCCATGGTGATGGGATGCTGTTCCTTTTTCTCCTTTTGAAGTGCACTCCACCCCACTGACACAGCCCTTTGCTCATCAGAAACCCACCCTTCTTGGGCCTTTTGGGCTTACTCTCCTTCATGAAGCTTTTCCTAAGCCCCCACCTGGAAACACAGTTGATCATATGGCGCCTTATAGGAAGGACAACACAGCCACCTCCCTGTACTTCACTTCTTTGTCAATTAGTCCATCTTTAATTAAGTGTGCTCCTTCTAGAAGGCTCACTGTCATTACCATTTTATCCAGGAAAACTTGATGCCTTGTATAGGGCTTTACTGCTTGAGGATGCTAATCGGATGCAACTAAAAAATAAACGATATCTCTGAGATTTGGACATGTTTCTTGTTCTCTGTGATGGGGCTAAGCCGCTAAACTTAATCCGTCATGGTGATAACAGCTCTTTTCCTCCCAGAACTGATGAAGGGAAAAGCCAGTAATTTCTCAAGTGTGATAGATGTCCACCCTCTCACCTGGTATTTTATAAATATATTGTCTTAACTGTCTTTTTAAGTATCTCTGCCTGGGAGGGTGCCTTCCTCTGTTTTACAAAATGCCAAGTGATACCACTGTGATATATAAATAATGATAATTAGACGACAGCTTCAAATTATTTGACATCCAGATTGAAGGGAAAAGTGGTACTTTTTTTTTTTTTTCATATAATACCCTAGAATTTAGATCAGAGATGGCATTCAGGAAAGCGTATTGCTTCCTGTCAGACGTGGATGGCTCAAAGCTTCTTATATGTGAAGTAAGACACCAGAGAATAAGCACGTGCCAAAGCATGTTGGGGCATCAGATCTGGGCCAGGCCATAAAGACTCTCCATCCTTTGTGATGATTTGTTTGAAAATAACAGAAATGGACTAGGAGCCAAAGAAGAGGGAAGTTGTTCTTATCTGAAACTCCACATAAAGTATTTAATAGTCATTAAATGACATCACTTCCCAACCTCTGGCCTCTTTTCACAAATGTCAAGCACCACGGTTTCCAGAATTTGGCTCCTCCTCATTTGGTCTGCTTCAATATTACCTCTTAAATTTTCGAGGAATTTTTCCTTTGTTGTGGCTCCTGGTGGGTGAATGTGAGACTGTTTCTTCATTTAATTGAAGGAACAGAATATTAAGAATCAGAAAGGCTGGGTTTGATTTCCAGCCTTACCGCTTAATAGCTCTACGGCCTTGGGCAACTATTTAACCTGCATTTTATTTCCTCCCTTGTAAAATAGGAGTAATTTCATCACAAGAACATCCTGGATGTACATACTATACTAATTTACATCCATGTGCGAGTCATTGTTCTAAATAATTTACTGTCAGCATACCATTTAATAGATGACGAAACTCAGACCCAGAAAAGTTAGGTCATTCACCTCGAGTCACACAGCAAGTAAGTGATATGCATAAGGAAGAGTGTAAGCTTATCCTCCGATCCAGAGCTTGTTGGAGGTGAGCTGTGAGGAGGGGCACCAGCAGCCCTCCCCAGGGTAGGAGGAAGTGGGGGTGACGGGGCAGGCTACAGTGTCCCCCTTCAAGTGCCCTTGGTCTCCCTACCCCCTTCCTCCTCTGCCCTCACATATCCCTGATTTTTAATTTTTCCATCAGTTTCTTTCAAATCCATTTCCTTCCCTTTCCACTGACCCCACTCTCCTCTGAACTCACTGTTTGTATCTCAGCTTTTGTTATGATGCTGATATTTGTTTCCCCATTGCCATTCGCTCATCCATCTCCCATTGGTGTGGCAGTAGCTCTCAGTCTTCTGGCTCTAACAATTCCCTGTTGGATCTATTTTCATCTGTGCCAATCTGCCTTTATAGTGGAACTTCTCGGTTCAAAAACCTGCAACTCCTCACTGTATATCAAAGTAAGGGCCACACACTTTAATAACTGGGGTCTTGTGATGCTGTGGGTTGTCAGTGACAGATAACCAACTCACACAAATAAGAAATAAGGCAAACATGGAGGGTGAGTCCCTTGCTTCAGGCAGAGCTGAATCCATGGGTTTGGGCCGTATTTTCAGAGTTCATTTTGAAATATGTGAGAGCCCCCAGCAGCTCAAGGCTCACATCTTAACCGAATGAACTCCTGAGCAGAAAGATGGTCTCTTCCCTGACGCCTCTGACGTGGCCGACCTGCCCATCCCGAGTCACTATGGCCTGGGATTGGGCCCAGTTAAATAGGTACAAGCCACAGATACCCATACTGCTTCCTGTTCAAACCTCCTCCATCTGGTTCTCTCCAGTGTTCTCAGCCTCTTTCTGTGTGTAGGTCATTCACTTCCCATCTGCCTGATGTTACCTGCTCCATGCTTTAACAACTCTGCCTTGGCTTATGCTGGTCTCCCTTGATGTTCTTTCCTGCCATCTCTATTTATCAGAATTATCCCAATTTCTCAAGGCCTAGCTGTAATGTTTTCTACAAAGCCGTTCCTTATCCCAAAATTGGTAAAAGGCATTTCTTTTCTGTATAGCATTCAGCCGGTTATTACTTACTGCCTTTCGCTGTTTCTCATCCCCATCTTCATCAGTGCTGGCCCTTTCTTCATCACCCATATCTTTCTATAAGTCTTCATGTGCACAGAGCATTTGCACGTTGATTTATCTAATGGAAAAGCCTGTAGAGTAAGCAGGCAAGATGCCTTTATCCTATTTTTGCAGCTCAGTATTGCTTGAACACCAGCTAAGCACCAAGGCTAGGTGTTGACATGAAAGACATTTTAAGGTGGTGACATCCAGATGGCTTTATTCTGATTTTACAAATGAGGAAATTGAGGCCTAGTAAATAAGTGGCCAGGTGTCCCACTAACCATTGTTTTTAGCTACTGGAACATGCATGCTCTTTCCTACCTCTGCACCTTCTGCCTGGAATATTCTTTCCACTTTCCCCTCTCCTAACCCTACTCCTCTTTAAAATGTCACTTTTTTAGGGTGGCTTCTATTGACCATCCCCCCCCCCATCTAAAATAGGTCTACTATTCTCTCTCACAGTACTTCTGTTTTTCTTCATAGTGGTCATCACAATTATGTAATTATTTCACTTTTATAAATGCTTTGTCTCCCCACTAGACTGTGTACCCCATGAGGACAGGGATGATGACATCTTTGTTAACTCTTAGGCAGTCAGTGCCTGACACCAAAGAGGCACTCAAGAAATAATGTGTTAAATGAACAAATGCAAGTATCAGCCATTCTCGCAGCTCAGCAAATGCCAGAGCAGTGTTAGAACCAGATGGCCTGGAGCCCAGATCAGCATAACTCCGGCTCTTACCGTGTCCTACAGTGTGCCCACAAGCAGCCTTCCCTACTCAGTTATGTGATCATCAAGACTAAGAACTATAGTTCTAGTTCTTTGTTTGGGCTCCAAGGACATTAGCACTGTTTGATATGTGGGTATTTAGGATATGGAGGATGGGTATGTGTTCACATGGGTGGACAGAAGGGATGAGAGACAGACTGACTTGCAGACGGGGTGCTGGGATGGTCCACCAAGGGCGATCAGAGGAGGAGGATCAGTGTGTGGAGGCATGGGGAAAATGAGGCTCACATATTAAGCACCTGCACTGATGTAAAGGTCCTAGAAGGCCGTAGTGGTTCTCTACATCAGCTGAGATACAGAACTTTAACTTGTACCCTGGTTAAGATCTAAAAATAATACCCTATTCTGGAGTTCTTGGAATAAACCTTCCATTTTGGTGAGTCTGGAAGAGTTTTTGTTTTTATATTCCTATCACATTATATTGGAACACTTTCATTATACATGAAGGCAGCTTTTATTCTTACACCAGAGTGAGCAGCCTGTTACTATGGCAATATTGAAATTATTTATATACAGTGTCTTCTACACACTCCTTGCAAACGGTACATAGCGGTTAGGAGAAATGGGCTATGATATCCAAAATTGTTTTCCCTCTTATTTCCTTTATTAAACGTCTGTGAACTTTGTTATAATTTAATTTTTTAAAATTTGAACCTCTTATTTTTAGGAAAGATTAATTTAGGGGAGTTGTAAATATATCTGATCTATCAAACATTGAAAATAGCTCTGAAATAACTTCAGTTTTGGTGTGAGTACCATACAGATATAATTGCTTCTTGAGATCTTTTTCAGAAAATGGGGTGCAATCATAGATGCCCTCTTTGTGTTTTCAGGGCCTGGACAGCTTCAAAGTAAAACAGAAATTCTTCTCAGGGAGCAAGGAGCCAGCGGCCGCCTTTCCTGTGCCATTCGACCTGCCTCCAGAACTGTATGGAAGTAAAGGTAGGGCACACATGAAGGGAGATCATGGGTGTTATGTATGAAACAGAAACAGTGCCCAGAAGAAGCCGTCAGTCTCTCAGTGGGAGGTTGGCTCAGGGAATACTTTGGAAATGCAGGTTTGCAGAGGCCCCTTTGCTGCCCTGTTTGGGGCCACTACAGCTGTCATTCTCAAACTGGTTGGTCCAGGAAACCCTCTGCATTCTTATCATTATTAAGGACCACAAGGAGCTTTTACTTACATGGGTTTTTATAACTATTGAGAGTACTATATTAGAACTCAAAACCAAGAATTTTTTATATTTTAAAAGTAATAAACCTATTATATATATATAATTTTTTTTTATTTTTTTTACTATTTCCAAAAAACGGTGAGGAAAGTGGCATTATTTACAATTTTTGCAGGCAGGCCTCTTTACTATCTGGGTTAATGAAAGACCGCTGAATTATCATAGCTGCTCTGTTGCAATATCCTGTCACAAAGCCTCTATACACTCACAAGAAGTGAAGATGACAAATAATGGCTTAATATCTTGATGAAAATAATTTTCACTTCACAGATACCTCCCATCCTCTTAAAGGGGAGATCGCCAGGCTGCCCTAGACTATGACTTTCTTAAAGGCAGTGACCAAGTATTTTTCATAATAGAAAGTCGTTGGAACATTGGTTCAGGTTCATGTTTTTGGAGGAAAGCTGGCCGGCATGAGTGGGACCAGCTCCATCCCAGGTGTGACCCAGCCCCACAGGCTGCACTTGTCTTAGCCCTAGAATATCTGTCTTTAAAGCAAGTTCACACTTACAAGACTCACACAGGAGCAGATGTATAATCAGGACATGCTTATTAATTTAAAATGGCAAAAGGTCCTATTACAACCAGCATATTTTCCCCTGGAAGGTAGATGCCTACACAGATAGCCAGATTATAGTCAATGATTTTTGGGTAAATTCTGAATCTGAACAGGGAAAATTTGGTTTTTGTTTGGAAAGTTTTAATGACATCGCTCCATTAATATTCCAAAATCTCTGATTCCCTAACAGAGTCAGCCCTGCCCACTGGGTCCTTTTCTTCCCTGGACAGTGTTAGATGGGTTTTAGCTACTCCCTCACCCTCACTTGCCCTTTCTGGTTTTGGTGGTAAACCAGACCTTCCCCTTCCAGTGGACCTGTTTCTTCAATGGTATTAACTTTGTCAGATGTGTCCATATAGTCTCATGCTGTCTAGGGTGCAGCTGCAGAGCTATAATCTAGAGCTATAATCAGTCATATTGATAGCAAGCCTCAGAAGGTGTTCTTTTTTTCCTTCTTTCCAATTTATGTATATTGAGTCCTCTGAATTTGTTGTATATTCATGCATCTTCATTTTTCACTAGCAAGATCATATCAGTTTTATCAGAATTTCAGGGAATCTGTCTCCTCCCAACCCCCCCTGCACACACAAGTGAAAAATAGTGCTTTAGAACTAGGCTCTGTTTGTGCCAACCTTGCAACCTAAGTGACCTTGGGCAGTTATTTGCTTTCTCTAGGCCTTAGTGTCTCTATTTGTAAAGTGGGAAAATAAGAGTGCCTACTTCATAGAGTTTGTTGAAAAGAGTAACCAAGATGTTATCTGTAAAGTACCTGACACAGTCTCTAGTGCAGAGTTAGCAGTCACTAAACATTAGCTGTTGTTTCTGTTATTTAGAATATCCAGTTCAGTTCCCGGCGTGTAATAATGGACCGGTGTTTATTTTCTCCCCTTCCCCTTGCTGAGCGGAGGATGAAAAGAGCCTAAGGCCCATGTGGGACGGTCCCTAAACCCACCCAGCGTCTCAGGATCTGATGGTGAAAACCTCTCCTTCCACCTTCCAGCTTTATGCTGTACCTTTGTTTTTTCTCCTACTGTCTGTTCGTGTTCCTTTCTTTTTGTTTTTTTCTTTCCTCTTTAAACCTGAGTTCTGAATAAGCTTATTAGAGGTGGGGACGGAGGACCATGGACTGAGTGTGACTTCCTGTGGTCTGGCCTTGGGCTCTGTACTTTCTACCCCCAGCCCAGAACCTTGGCTGGAATTCCACCTCCTCCACTTAATCCTAATCTCCAAAGGACTTTGAAAGCAAGAATGAAAGAGATAGAGGAGCCTTAAAAATATCCTGAGGTCCCTTCAGTTTTGATAGAAAAAGCATTCTCAAGAATTTAAAAGTTTCCAACTGGGTAGTATCTTAGACTCTGTAACAATGAATCTTTTATTTGGCCAGCAAGCAGAATGTTTTCCATTGTTTAGCAAAGTTTTCTGGGTTTATACATTTCCTTTGAAAGATAGATACAAGAGAGACTGGAGCATTTTATTTTTTATTAGCACAGTTTTACCTTCCACGCTGCTTCAGTAGCATGCAGAATAATGCCAGTCACTCAGATGCCACCAGTTCATATGTAGCCAGCATTCACGGGAATCCTACGGACTAGAGGAAAGGTGTCAGATTTGGAAAAGTGAGTGGTTAAGAACATTTCAAAAGCACTTTGTTTGAAAATGGTTTTCAAACCACTGTAACATGTATAAGATCTTGTTAGTTATTTTTTAAAATCTGAGGACTATACAGAAAGCTTAGCAAAGAAATACATTGCTGTGAACAAATTACAGTTTATTGCAAGATACCAGCAGACATCCCTGAAACCAAGAAATCGATCAAATAATAAAGCAAAACAGACACAGCTGCAGGCCCACCTTGCTTTACACAGTACTTGCTGCTTATCTGTTCTCTCCACAGTTGTATTACTAAGAACCTGCTGTGTGCAGACACTGTCTAGGTACTTGGACTACGTCTGTGAACAAGACAAACACAAATCCCTGGCCTTATGGAGTTGAAATTACTCTTCACTTGAAAAGTTATACCTAACCAAACTCATTTGACTAATAGGAGTTGTAGTTTTAAAGGAAATCTTTTAGATCCTTTTGTAGTTCATAAGTGTGATGATTGGGTATTCACGCCAATGTGTGACACGTGCCTTCCTCAAACTTTGTTACGATCTCAGCACAATTACCCATCTGACGTGAGAAAAAAAAAATCTTTTATAAAGCAAAGTCACCAACGTTTAAATCTTATTTCCATACGTCCCACTTGCTATGTGACCCTGAGCCTGAAAAGAATAAAATAGACCAGTATGTGATCTCTCCTGAGCTATTATATGCCAGAAGCATCTGCTTTGTCCTCCCTTTTTAGCTTATATTCTTTGTATTCTCTGATACACTGTAAAGTGGGTAAAACAAGGTAAGGTTAAGTAAAGCCTATCTTATTTGGACTTAAAGAATAAATTATATATCAAATTTAAGAATAATTGAACATACAGAGCTTCAGAGACTTTAGTTATGTTAAATGACCTGGGTTGTTTTTTGGTGTTTTTTTCTCCTTTTTTTTTTTTTTTTTTTTAATACACATGGTAATATGTATACAGTTGGCCCTTGCACAGTGTGGGGGGGTAGGGACACTGACCCCCAGCGCAGTTGAAAATCTGCACGTTACCTTTGACTCCCCAAAAACTTACCTACTAATAGCCTATTGTTGACCAGAAGCCTTACTGATAACATAAACAGTCAACACATATTTTGTATGTTATATGTATTTTACACTGTATTCCTACAATAAAGTAAGCTAGAGAAAAGAAAATGAAAATTATAAGGAAGAGAAAATACACTTAAGTAATGTATGTATATTTATTGGGGAAAAAAGCCCACATGTGAGTAGACCTGTGCAGTTAAATCCATGTTGTTCAAGAGTCAACTGTAGTATTTATTTTTAATTTTTTGTCATAATTTCAGATTCAGAAAAAAGTTCTAAGTACAAAGAATTCCCATACTCTCTTCACCCAGGTTCTCCGAATGTGAATATTTTATAATATTTACATAATCCTTCTTTCTCATGTTAACTTTTTTCTGATCCATTTGAAAGTTGTAAACATGTTTGCAATCTCTAAATACATCAATATATATTTCTTAAAAACATCTTACATAGCCACAGTACAGTTACCAAAATCAGGAATTAACATTGATTGAATACTATCATCTGCAGAATTTATTCAGATTTCATCTGTTGCCCCAATAGTGTCCTTTATAGCAAAAGGGAAGTTTCAGGTTACATGTCATATTTGATCATCACTCTTTTTAGTCTCCATTAATTTGGAATAGTGCCACAATATTTTTGTGTATTTTATGGTACAATTTGCTGAGCACAGGCCAGTTATTTTATAGATGGTGAGGGACTTTGTCCATTGTTTTTTTGTAAGTAGGTCCAGAGTATGCACTTTTGCCAAGAACACCACAGAAGAGATGTTGTTTTTCTTAGTGCATCATATAAAAAGTCACATGATAACAATCTGCCTGATTACTGATAAAGTCAGTATTGATCAATTGGTTAAGGTGGTATCTGCCAAGTTGTATCTTTTGCAGGTTTTGTATATTTTAGAATTTAAGTTTTAAATGTCTAGAACTAAGCGAATTAGCTGTATATGTAATTGCTCAGTCGGAGAGGTCATTAAAACCTACTTGGCACATGAGATACACCTGATCTAGATTTAGCATATATATAGTATATATAATCCTCTAAAGTGCTTTAAACCATTGGTTCCCAGATAGTAACCATTCCCCCTACTGCTTTATTCATTTGAAATAATTCCTCGAATTTAGATAGTACAGGAATAAACTTCATTCTAGACCTCTCATAATTATTGCTAAATAGTAGAGACTGATTCATAAAGTATTTGTGTAAGGGAAACGAAGCTGATTTAACTTTCTAATCCAAAGAAAATGCAAAAGAAGTAAGTCACTTAAAATCGTTGTTGATATGCTTAATTTTCAAGGGCCTGTTGTTTGAAAGATCTTTAGAAATGAGGATTTTTTTTTTTTAAATGAGAGAACCAGGAAAGGTTTTTAGACAGGATTTTGATCATCTCCTTTAATAAAATCTTTTTGTTTCATAGTACAAACAGAATCCTGACACCAAACTTCCACCTTAGCTTTTAAAATTACTTTGTAAACAGAAACCTTAAGGAAATCTGAAATTATCAAAGTAAAAAGTAATTTTATCAGGTGGTATTGAAATCAGTATTTGGTTTTTAGCAATTTGAATTATACTTCCTTCCACTGGATAGATTGTTCTCTTGTGCTTTTTTTAGTCACAGATTAATACGGGAGATCGTCACAGAAAAGAGAGTTAATGGGTTTCAGATAACACTGGAATCACAATTACCAAAGATTGCATCTCTACTAGGTCGGTAACCCAGTATAAAATATTTTGGAGCTTTCCTTTGTATTGCAAGCTGGCAAGTGTTTTATCCATTCGTTGATTTCAGAGTAGGCTAAGGTAAAGTGGCATCAGAAATCTCATTAGTTCATCTCTTTGGGATCACTCACACGCCATATACAAACACAGTCTGTGCCTGATACAAGGAAAGAAAGGTGATTGCTCAGGTGACAGACAGTGGCTTCTATAGGTAGGATATCAAGTTCCCCTGAAGACAGTGGGAAATGTGTGTATGGGTGTTTGGACATGGGGGTCAAGGCCTAACTGTAACACAAGGGCCATTTCTTAGAGGATTAGAGCAAAGAGCTTATTTCCTGGCTAAGTAGAACGGGGTATTGTATTTGGGTTTGGCTGTTAAAAAACCTGATGGACCTACACAGCATATAGAATAATGACAATCCTCACCCACTGTGAGTTGAGGGTGGTGATCATTATAATATTATAGCAGCTAGCACTCATCAAGTACTTATGTGCCAGGAACTGCTATGAGCACTTGACCTGAGTTTATTGAATCCTCACTGCCCCCATGATACCAGTACTAATATAACCCCTACTTTATAGACAAGGAACCTAAGCACTCAGGTCAGTTTGGTCAGGGCCCCATGTCTGCCATGTCCATGACCCCTTTACCATCACCCTGTGCCACCTCCCCACAGAGAGCTAAGTTATGGAGTTAAGAGATGTCAGATGCACGCAGTCCTCAACTGACTGACCACAGGGACAGATGGAATAGACACAGAGATAAAACCCCTTGGTTGTCCCCTCATCCCCAGCCTTCCTGCCATGGCCTTAATGTTGGCCTCACTGTTTCTCACCTAGGCTGCACTGCCTATTCATCTCCCTGGTGTTGGTCCCCTCCCAGTGGACATCATCTTCTCCCCTGCTGCCATGCACCTCTCATCTTGTCACACTCCTGTTTTAAATCCTTCCATTATATCACAGGAAAAAGCTCATCCCATTTAGCCTCTGATCTCAAACTCTGATTGTGTTAAGATCACCTTTAGAACTTGGTAAGAATGTGTAATGCCAGGCCCCAGCCCAGACGGATGGAAAGAAATTCCCTCGAGGTGAGCTCTGGGGAAATGCTCTGGCAATTCTCACGTCAGCCAGGTTCGGGAACCACTGCGCTGACGTGGTCAAGTTCAGAATTCTGGCTCCACGGCCTTCCTGCTCGTCTGTCTGTCCCCCTGGACTATAAACTGAGAGGACCCCTGCTTTGTCTAGCAGAGTACCTGGCATCTAACCAGCACTCGACAAATATTTCAAACATATGCAGGACTATTTCATGAGGCAAGTTTTTCTTTCATGGGACAATTTAGGAGGATTGCTTAAAACAGGCTTTCATCTAAGCCAGTAAGTGTGAATGCTGACTTCCAGTAATGGTCAGAAGACAACAGTCACAGCCACCTCTTACCTTCCTGTTAGCCTTTTTGCGTCTCTCTCCCCAGGTAGTGGTGAACCTTTCAGCCGGCATGGCACATGGTCAGCCCGTAGGCAGAGACATTTGCTCATCTATCGAGCGGTGTGTCCAGGGATTTGCCAATGGATAGTTATCTTACTTGGTTATCGTTGGCTAATTGTGAGGGAGAGGAATAAATGCACTGGTGGTCTCCAAGATGCTGGCTGACTGGCACATGTTTGCATCACAAACCCTGCCTCAGTGAAGAATCTAATAGCTACTGCCATAGCAAGGATCGGGGTGTCCTTTGCCTTGGGGATGAAGTAGAGCTGATGTTACCCAACGGAGCAGTCTGCAGGAAAAGATGGGAGAAGTCCAGCCACAGAAGACCATGTCCCCCGTGGAAGAAAGCCAGTGGTTCAGGCCAGTGGGGAGCTGTGGGGAGTCTCCAGCACTGCCAAACCCTCAGCCTTTGATGAAGCGTGTCGCACAGGCCCTGGATTATGGCTCTCTCTCAGGCTTAACAAGCTTGCTTCAGGCTCTCCCACCATCTCAAGGCCGAAGACAAGAGAACAGGGTTCTGATAACTTGTTGCCATCTTCAGCCTTCTTTCCCTGCACATCTGCTGGGTCCTGCTGTTTGCATGCTGGCGCGGCCGTTATTCAACACCGTGAGGTGTGAGGAGAGCCTCCCTTTGTTTGCCAGGCCATCCTCCGAGCTGTGCTCTCTGTTCGGGAAGAGGAGAAAGCTTCCCCGAGAGTGGGTTGGCGGTGCTGGGCGGCTGCTTCTGCCGATGGTACCCTCAGCACACCTGCCGCGTGGCCGCCTTACTGTAAGCATTCACCCCTTCGGAGTTGTCGTAGCTCTCCTCCTCTTCAGGACAGTTATGTGGGGATTGATTCTTAACCCTAGCAACCTATTTACACCCTACCCCTACTATTATGGTTCTTTAGAATTGGTTTGATTCTAGGAGTAGTGAAGCATGGTAAAAGTGATTTGCTCTGATTTTTTTCAATTTCTGAAACCCCAGTTAAAAGGGAAACTTCATGTTTATTGAGCACCTACAACATGCCAGGAACTTCCCCAGGTGTGCTCCCGGTTATGTTTCAGGATCCTCCTGAGAGGTTGCTTATGTAGCTAATTCCCATTTCACAGCTGAGGAACCCGAGGCCAAGATCCCAGTGTTTTCCCGAGTTTGCAGAGAAGGATGAGGGCAGGACCTGAACCTAGGTCTTCAGTGTTCTCTCCATTGTGTCCTACCGAGGCATGTTGCTTGCTTCACCATCGGTCTACAGTCATTATACAGAGACCTTCATACCTCATCAATTATTAGCCTTAAGGGACAGAACAAAACCATTTCATGGAGGTGGCCTCAGGCCTCTCGATTATATGTGACCATGACCCGCTGAGAGCAGTGTGTGCCATCTGTTACTGTTGGCTTCTCCCGCGCTGTAAAAGATAACAGCTGAACTTTGTGAGCTTCTTTCTCTGCGGGATGCTCTGGGACACTACGTGTGTTTATCTCACTTCCCCTCCTGACTGCGCCACAGTCAGGTACACAGAAGGAAACTGAGGCTGACAGAGGCAAAGTGACCGGTCAATATAAGCAGCAAGCCAGGATGTACACCCTGGTTTCTGCTGGCCTGCTTCCATGTTCACTTGCCCGTGTCAGCATGAACCTTTGCCAATAGCCACTGTCTGAAATGGGCTGTTGTCTGGGGTTGGTTCAGATAGGGTTCTTAAGAGGGTGCCTGAGTGGTGCAGTTGGTTAAGCGTCTGACTCTTGGTTTTGGCTCGGGTTGTAATCTCAGGGTCGGGAGATTGAGCCCCGCATTGGGCTCTGGGCTCAGCACGGAATCAGCTTGAGATTCATTCTCCCTCTCCCCTCCACCCCCCTGTGTGCTCACGGGCACTCACTCATAAATCTTTAAAAAGAGGAGAGGGGTTCTTAACAATGTGTAAACGTGGTGGTTTTATCCTATCGGGTAAACGCATGGGTGGTTTTATCCTATCAGGTAAGTAAATTTTTTGTAATCCTGTTCAAATTAAGTATTATACATATGTAATGTGGTTTGTTTGTTTTTTCCCCAGATCGGCCATGGATTTGGAACATTCCTTATACCAAAGCACCAGATACACATGGGAATATGTGGGTTCCCTCCTGAGAATCTTAAAGCACTGTGAAATTTAGGTTTAAGACCTCAAGCCCCAAATAATAGATGTTCTAATTTGTACTGGATGTTCACCCTTAAAGTTTTATCTACACCCCTAACAAAACTCTGCACAGCTCACTCTTGTGAACGTGTATGCTGGTTATACTTTCAATGGTCATTAACAGTGTCACGAAAAAATCTATTTTCTTAATTCACTTTTTTAAGCTTTGGAATGAAAGCTATCAAACTCAACAATGTTGAGTATAGACATACAGTCATTCTCAAAGTGATATGTGGAATTTCATGATGGTGTTCTCTCTTCCGAAGTGAAGATTGACTATGTGTGTTGTATTCCATCCATCCTGAAAGGTGCTCTTCATTCAATCAAAACTTGTCAGGGGAAGAATGTGATCATTTGCTTATCACCCAGCCCTCCACTTTCTGAGTGTTGTCTTGGGGTTGCTGGCCCTGAGTCTGCAGACGTTCCTGGCCTCTGTCATGGAGGTCGGTGTGGCTACCCTTCATACGCACTGAGTCCTACTGCCTCTCATCGTCCTGCAGCTTCATGAGGCTTTTCATCCTGGCGTCATGCTGGCTGCCTCTCTGCTTACAAATGTGTCCTGCCATTTCCTCACCCATTCCCTGGAACGGATGGGTGTCTTTCATCACCACCCCCAAGTTTCCAGAAAAGACCGCTCACAACCCTATAAAAGCACAAGTATCTTACTTGCAAGAAACCCTGAAAGGTAACCTTATTTGGTGCCTTCAGTTCACAAGCAAGGGAACGGAGGCCCAGAACAGTTTAGGATGTCCCCCACATCACAGCTGGTTTGGGTCAAAGCTGTGAATGTCTCCACTTTATGTACGTATGTCCTTCATACTTAGGAGTCACGTTCTCCTATGATGATGTAGACCTTTTCTACATGAGGCTGATTTCCAGTTTGTCTCCAGCCTCTTTATCTTACAACTTTGAAGAGTGGAATATTAATTTTGAAAGATTTCTGAAGATAGCTTTTCAGACTGTTCTTCAGGCCTACAATTTTCACCTTAGGACCCGGCAGGGCAGAGCGGGGGTGCTGTCATAGAAAAGTTTGGGAAGACAGCTGCAGACCCTCCACCCTTCTCCTGTCACAAACTCCGCTTTACCTATTCTATGTTTTGGGATTCTGTAAAGGGTATTATCTGGGATTATGTGTGTGTGTATGCATGCTTGCACTGCTTTAAAAGTTGAAAAGCCACTGAATTATTATTACCTGTGTAGTGAGCTGGTTAAACTAAGGCTTAGACCTTTCATGACCCTGCCTTCTACTTCCCAGAACATGCAAACCCTCCATCACATGAGCCGGAAAGGCAGTGGAAAGGCGTCCGGGGCTGGCCCAGAGTGCGTGCCCGGCAGTCTGTGTGTCCAAAGGCCTGGCAGGGGACCCGAGATTCTCCCCAACATGGTGGTCCCATCCTGGGTGAGGGTGGAGCAGCACCAAGCAAGGGTCTCAGCAGTGTCACCATGACAGCAGTCTGCCTGCTCTGCAACAGGACTCAGAAAGCCTGGGCTCTGCCGGGTGGGTTCAGCCACTCGAGAGGACAGCGGCAGATCGATAGCAGTCCCTGGGCAGAGTCGGTCACACAGGTACATTTTTCATCTGATCCACATTACTGCAGAGTGGGTTGGAGCTCAGCTGAAGTCAGACTGCCAAAGTTTGAAGCCCAGCTCTGCCACTTATGGCTGTGTGACCTAGACCAGGTTATTTAACTTCTCTATGCGTTGGTCCCCTCAACTGTAAAATGTGGGTGGTGGTGGTAATACTCCTCACAGAGGATGATGGAGAGTGGTGAGTGAATGCGTGAAGATACTCCGAGCCTGCACAGCATGAGAACTGTCCAGTGATTGATTGCTCCCGCCATTGCTACAGTTGACCCATTAGGATTATCCTCGTTTTCCTGATAAGGAAATCGGGACTCAAAAAGGTGAAGTGATTATGCAAGGTCATACTTCTAGAAAGTGCTCTCACCAGTATTTGAACCCAGGTCTGGCAGCATCCACGGCCTGTTTTCTGCCAGGTGGCCCAAGCTCCCAGGCAGCATGGTATGTGAGGAGAGGGACAGTTTTTACCCCTCCAGTGTATTGCGGACACTTTTATAGAATACAGAATCGGGTGCTTGGATGTTCCAGCACTGTCAGATTACAGTGGAAGTTTCTAAATGCTTATTTTCTGTACTCCTCACAGACCAGTTCTGGTCCATGGGCCGTACTTCCAAGTAACATTCCTCTACACCCAGTAGGGACCCAAAGGGGCCCATCTGGAAACACAAGTTCTGTAGAATGGGTGGCTAGGTACATCAAGGTAACATTAGGGGAAGCCCATGACCAAGGGTTATGCACTCTGGGTGTCCAGGCCCAACTGCTAACGGCAGCCTTCTGTGCCCCTTACCCTGGTCAGCATAGGTAGGGTCATAACATGAGCTTTCTGGGCATAGTTGATCGCACACACGGAAAACAATGCCCCAAGAATAATCAACATGGGAACCCAAAAAGCAAGCAGTTCTGCCTCATCTGGTCCTTTTTTAAATGGAACTGAATTACCCAAAGTGCTACAAAAAAGCATCATCAAATGTGTCTGCTAATGCTTGAGGAAATTACTTCCATTATTCTGGGTTGGGGTTTAACAATTACTTCTCCCTGACTCGAGGAGCACTCACCTCGCCCTGTGTCTGCAGGTAGCTGCCTGCCACCTTTTTATTTATTTTGATGTAGTGATCCATGATTCATTGTTTGTGTATAACACGCAGTGCTCTATGCAGGACGTGCCCTCTTTAATACCCATCACCGGGCTAACGCATCCCCCCACTACCCTCCCCTCTAGAACCCTCAGTATGTTTCTCAGAGTCCACAGTCTCTCATGGTTCGTCTCCCCCTGATTTCCCCCCCTTCATTCTTCCCCTCCTGCTATCTTCTTCTTTTTTTAACATAGAATGTGTTGTTTCAGGGGTACAGGTCTGTGGTTCATCAGTCTCACACTTCACGGCACACACCCTCCCCAGTGTCCAGCCCCCAGCCCCCCCACTGCTGCCTTTTATCCTTTCCCCAACACCTCTCCCTGCTTCAGATCTGGAAACACCAGCCAGCGACTGTATACATGCTGAGGGTAAACATCCACCTCACAATTCAACTTCCTGCCGCTTCATAAAGTTCTATTATAGGAGACGTACTGGCTGAATAAGGAGCGTCTCAGCATGCAGACAAAAGGAACCACTGCCGTTCTGGGGAGTTTTCTCTTGATCTTTGGAAAGCTTACCTAACATTCTTTTAGAGATGGACGTGTAGCCAAAAGTCTAAACGAGATCTTCATACTAGATGAATTTCAATAGAATATTCTGAATGAGCGTTTAAGAGTCCTAAAACATTTTAAGACAAAATTGTCAGTCCCCACATGTAGCAACTTAAGTCGCTTGCCATTTTGGCAGGAGGATTCCGAGTCCCCTTCACCTCCCACATACTCTTAAGAGAGGAATGGGTCTTCCACCAGCTGCTTTTGTGGGGTGAAGGAGGGAGAGGTTTTTTTAAAAAATAAAATTTAAGATTCATCTATTTTAGAGAGCGAGAGGGAGAGAGAAACAAGCAGGATCTGCCCTGAGCTCAGAGCCCGGCACGGGGCTTGATCTCACAAGCCTGAGATCACGACCTGAGCTGAAACCAGGAGTCGGGCACTTAACCCACTGTGCCACCCAGGCACCCCTAAATTATTTTTTATCACATTCCTGAGAAAGGCTGCCTGGTTTTAACTATAGCTGATACAAATCGTCCTTGAAATTCACTGATTTGGGAGGCTGTATTTTTCCACATATTGTAATAGCCAGTGTTTCCTGAGCTCTTCCTATGTCTTGACTCCTGTGCTTACATGCTTTACATTTAAGCCTCACATTAGCCTTCTGTGAAATAATATCCATAAGGTTCCACGGTGGAGCCCAGCTTTGTTTTCCTGGGTTCTTGTGTAGAAGTTAAATAGTTCTCCTTAATAGAAGTTACATACGTGACTTCCAGCACATATGGTTTCTGCATCAGATTTGGTATGCTGAAAATAAGGACCTTAGATTCCATTTTGTCACAACTTTTTTCCACATAAAATTAGTTTACTTTCTAGGGAAATGACATATTAGTCCATTTTGAAATCATTTTTGGATGATCTGGATATTTGGTTCAAATCTTAGGACATTTTACTTTCTCCCTTGTAACTGAAAAATGAGAGCTGTAACCCGTTCTGTAAAAGTACTTGGTTTTGACTGGTGAATACTCAAGAAGGTTAGATAGGCATTCTTTCTTTACATTCATAAAGTGTAGTAATTGTATTGATGAATGCTGTTCATTATAATAAAGTATGATGGCAAAAGTGCAGGAACTCAATGGCACAAATAAAATAGCTTAAATATTATATAGGATTAAATCTAAAATTCTGTTGATAATGTGCTAACTACATGTATGCATGGATCCCACTGTAACATTTTTGGCAAATTTTCCAAGTTTAGTAGTCCACTTTTTTCAAGCAACATCCAGGCCAAAAAAAGTACTACAAACAAAACTACATTTTCTTACTGCATTTTTAGCAGCTAGTAAGTTACAGGTCTTAAGTGGCTCTTATAAGTCTTAAGGAGTAATGTGCAGCCATTTGCTCCTGGGAGAATGCTAGCAGTGCCCACAGCCAGAACCCAACATGGAGACAGGTGGTCACCTCTAAGCCCAGACTCTACTGGTCCCCGTAAGAACACTGACCAGCGAGTACAGAGCACTTGGTGTGTGCCAGGTACTGTTCGTGTTTTCTGTCTTAACGAGCCAAATTGTAATAGCCCAGTGCTATTACCACAGCCATTTTACAGATGGGGAAACAAATTATTTGTCCAAAGTCACACAGCTGGCAAGGGCAGAGCTGGGATTTGAACCCGGGGAGTACTGCTATGAAGAACCAGGCACAAGTGTGGCAGATGTTCCCAAGCTCCAGCCAAGGAGTGGCCTTGCATACAGGATGTGTAA